GCGGATGGTCGTATTCAGCAGGATCACCTCGGAGGTGGCTGCAAGGGCGCGGTAAATTTGCTTGGTCCTGGCAATCCAATCCTTGAACTTCTCCTGGCTGGCGATTCAGACACGCTTGAAAGAGAATTGAAAGATCTGCCGCAAATCGGGAGAAATCATCCCACATTTATCGAACATTAGGGGAACACAAACAACTTAGCCGCCCAAAAAGTCTCCTGAGGGCAGAAGTATTCTTGCAACACGAAGGTGTCATCAACTTGGAAGAGGGGCTCATAAAGCTGAGCGAGGGGCACAGCACTCTCGTGTAGCATGTGATTGCGTTCAGTCTCATTGCCCCAATCGAGCGCTTGACCAGAACGCTGTTCAATCGCATAGCGCACCTCCTTCATTGCAGGCATGAGCCATTTGTACATGAGCTTCGATTGCCAGGACATCTCCCTCGGCTTCTTGCTGAGGTTTGAGACCAATCGCACTTCCTCATCATGACTTCTTCGGAAAACAAAGAAATCAATGTGGTCTGTATCAATGATGTTGAGTTGGGCAAGCTTCATGACAACATCGTCAGATGCCTGAGCTGCCGCATGGTGCCTCATGAATTCCTCACAGTTGAGGTGCAAAGATTCCATGTCCATGCGGCTGTTTCGCACCACACGCATGGTGACTTCCCACATGATGCCGAAGAGGCCATACCTGCGCAGACCGCGCGTTCTGAAGAGGGTCCCCATATGGTTGAAGGATTCTCAGGCCTTGTTCGGCCTAGAGGGATTAGTGTGATTAGGGCCCTGCTCCAGTCCGGCCAACTCCGTACAGAACTAGCAGCGGCTCCGCTGCTGAAAGGGGTCAGTTTACCACATTTAGCCACTTGTGAGGTCGGCACGGTGCAAGCTTGGCACAACCCTGCGACCACACGACTGGATGTTGAAAAAGGAAGGAGATGATTGGGCGACGATTGGGCGACCGAGCGGTGACCAAGGCACCCTCCAAGGGCCAGGCTAAAAAGCTCACCCTCCTCTCCAGTTGCACCGCGTGAGCAAACAACTTCCTCCAAAGAGTCGGAAGCGATTTCCCACCATCTTGTCACCAAAGGAATGTAGGAACACAGTCTTAGAAACAACCTTCATCGATGTCATGAAAGCCCACGGTGTTTGTGTTTGAGATCAAATGCTGTCTTTTCAAGGGCTTCCCTTCTGACATGTAGGGTATGTATACCTACGTGACCACGTCTAGCGACCAAATAAGTGGACACAGATTCAACACATACTCAACATACCTCAACATTGGGATCGACATGAATGGACTTTTAACAATTCTAACTGCTTGGGGGCTTTCTTCAAACAAACATCTCTTGAACAAATGCAGGGTTCTTGCCCATCAGCTTTGATCAGCCGGAGGGACTCCACACATTCCGCCAGCGTGAAGTCTGTGGTGATTCCGTGACCATTCACTGCCAAGGTTCCGCCCACTGAAAAGCTAGAGTAGCTCTGCATGGTGCGCGGAGACATCCCAAACTGATTCAAATATACAATCAAATCAGCCCATGTACACCCACACTCGCACACAACTGCTTCTGAGTCAGCATCGAACCGCATTCGCGTCATCTTTGTCATATCAATCACGACTCCATCCTCTGCGATGCTTTGGCCGCCCATGGAGTGCTTGGTGCCTCTCACGGACACTCGTTTTCCATCAGCCCGTGCTTTGACCAAGGTTCTCTTGATATCATCCTCTGTCCGAACATACACCACACGGCTCACTTCTGTGGCATTCATTCGGGTGATGTCATCAACTTGGACCTTAGAACTTCTGGGGTCTGGGTCAGGATCCGGAAAACATGCCTGGCTACTGGGGCCACGAGGTACCACGTTCGGCGTCTGAAGGGTTTGAACCTCCTCCATGGTAGGCGCCCGTTCCTGTGGGTTCCAGCTAGCGCGTTTGAGCTGGGAAAGTCTAGGCAGAAACACCGGCGAATCATCTCAATGTGAAATATGCACAAAGGAAAAACTGAAGAACCACAACAAAACACATTATACTGCAGTGCCAACCACAGTGCTCCACATTCGGAATGTCAAGACTTGGCGCTGATGATCGATTTCTTCTTATGAAAAGGGTTCCTTCTTAAAATCCATCACGTGCTTTCAGCTGAACCCCTTCCAGCTTTGCACACCTCCCAGGTCTGGCAGAGATTTTTCAGGTGGGACGCCTCCCACGTTTTGAGGGAGGCATCTTAGGTGTCTCGAGCCTGGTGGATTGTAAGAGAACTGTGACGGATTGGAGGGTCGGGCAGGAATGGGGCAGCAAAGCTTTGGCTAGAAATCTGAGGAACAGAAACCCACCGCGTTGGGAGGCCGGGCTCGTCGATGAAACCAGTTTGGACACTGAGCGCAGGGGCAGGTGAGGGGGCATGCGCCTGCTGCATCCCAATCCCAAACGCCCAATGGGTGATACATTGATCCGAATAGCCCTGGAATCAAAATCAGAGGGGCCATGGGGCACCTAACTGACACCAACCACCAACCATTCCCAACGACAAGCTGGTGCTTCAACTTTCCACTAGCTTCTGTAAGATTCTACGGGCTTTCAGGATCAGCTGTGCCAACCTGCTGAATCCATAACTTGCTGATTGGCCACACGCCGCCAGCTTTGTCTGGTCTCCTCCTCTTCTCCTCTCCTCACACGAGCCTAAATAGCTGAATTCAGCGCGAAGAGCCATGGTCCTTCGCAACAGTGTCCATCTTGGACAAGTACAGTACAGGTGGTAGGGTGGCTCTGGGTGAGATGATGCCCTATGTATTCACGTATTCAATATCCTATACCTGAAAGGCCGAGCAAGTGATGGCATCGAGGGAAATCAAGAGCACTCGACTCGCTATGATTGTGAGCTGCGGCCTCAGGAGCAAAGTCTTAAAAGTTCATACTGTAATCATATTTTTATGAAAAGTAAACAATACAAAAGCAACACAAAGAAAATGCAAAAACAATAAAAGGATAAAAAAGGCATGACAGTAGGACAGTCACAAAAAAACACAAACGGACTGGACAGCCTGCGATAGAAACCAGCACTTCCAGAGGAAGCAAGGAAACACAGCATTTGTCAAAGAGGCACTGCAACAGGGAACCGTTCACTGATTGAAACCCAAGTAGAGGCTGCATGTGGCATAGACAAAGGCGATCACTACAAAGCAACAATCACGCAAGAGGCACATTGAGAATAGACCAGTTTTTTTGAGCATACGTCCTATCCAGTAATTGCTAGCCAGCCGGGGAAGCAACAAGGAAGGAATGTTAGGTCATCCCAGTAAGAGGGCAAGTGAAGAGCGGTCATATCAAGGCCTTCCTTGAATATGTCTCCCTATGTGTGTTTCTATTTTTCCCTTTCTTCATTTGTCGTGTTTGCGTATTATTTTCGTTTGGTGTTTTCCGAGGCAAAAAAGGATGAATTTGCGTTATGTTTGTATTAGTTTTGCATTCCGAAACAACTATGAAAACAATAGAAGAAAAGGTACGACAAACATATGAAATCAATACAAAAGCAATACAAATGCGCTCGAACAAAAATAGGAAACACATACAAAAAATAGGACAAAATAGGAGCGCAAATACCGTCGGGGAACCCCAGCACAAAAGGCAAACGAGGTCTTGCGGACCGCTTTTTAAAAATTGCCCAAGAGCAGGAACAAGAATCATTCATAGGCTGTTCGTGGATTTTAATCTTAAAGAGTATGGCTTGACAAGGCGTCCTGCTCTTGTTTGAAACTCTGGTGTTCGAAAGTGGGTGCCAAGCCACCAACATTGAAGTACACAAGACCTAGCACAAGTTCCATTTTATGTGAGAACTGTTGGAGGGCTCCTGTTCAGGGCCTTCTTCTCTTGCGAGGCTTCTTGGTGTCAGGCAGCAACCTAGTGTTCATGCTCATTGTGAACTGTGTGCCCTATTCTGTGCATTTTCTTTTGTATTAGGTTTGCATTTTTCTTTGTATTCAATATTTTGTATATTGTTGTAATCCTTTTGTGTTTTTATGATTATGGAGTTCATTATAGTCAGCTTTAATCCGGGTCACAAGGCTATGACATCCCGCTTGGTGACACCCTCGTTTTGCACTGGTGACACGTTATACTTTGTCATTGAGCAAGCCAGATGGTGACACCCACACACACTTAGATTGGTGCTCGCAAGAGCTAAATCAGTTCATGGCATGCAGCATGCACCAAGATTCGGAAGGAGTTTCAAAGGAGTTGCGTCGATGTTCACGGGCTTAGCACGGACTTGCTCTTGGAGCGTTCAAGGATGGTGAACAGGGAAAGGAAAGAAGGAGTCAAAAAAGAAGGGGACTAGACATGGTGGTGTGAAAACACAAATACTATGGACATCTATGGACTGACACGGACTGACCAACGGATGGAGACGTCCAAAAGGCCCATGGAACCCGGTCCCCCAGGGAGGAGTCTCGATGGTGCTCATGCGGGGCTCCGTGGAGTGAGGCGGCTCCGTGGAGTGCCGGGCGGTTCAGTCGGGACTTGCTGGGCGAGTCAGCTGAATGCATCGGATTTCATCCACCAATTCAGAGACCTGAAATCACTGAGATAGCCTGAGTGATTAGGAATGCTTGGATGAACGGATGGCACAATTCCTTGGATCTTTGGGTCTGGCTTCTTGCAATGGTAGGATGTATCTGAGGGCATGAAGATAGCGGATTCTGATGTTCAGGCCCTTCGTGCGACTCAAGCCGTTTCGAGAAGCGGCATGTTGCGTGATTGCATCTGATTTTGCATCATGTTAGTGTTGTCGTCCAGGCATTGTTCCCAGAGCATGAAAGAACTCGTTCCATCGTCTGACTGCACAACTTTTCATTCTAGGAATCCAGCACAAGCGCAAGGGCTGCATGGAGCTGAGCATATTGACGCCAAGCCTTCATATGTTCTGCCTAGTTGCAACCTTTCATCTAGCCTGAAAACACACACCCGAAAGCGATGCTGCAACATTGATATACATTGATCTCCTTTTCTGAAGCGGAACGGTATGATTGTGTGCCACTACTTTGTCGCCCAGAAATTGAGCGAGGACTGCCACTACTGTGCTATAGCTGTCAGTGTCGGGAACGATCCAGACAAACACTGCCTATATACATCTGCCTACTCATCGCTGACCAGCAGGGTGGTTTTCTTCGGCCCAGGTAGACCCGACTTCTTTTTCACCAGTGGTTCCTCCAGGCCACTTTCAGAGACCACCGGTCCCACCGCCTTTGCTTCGGCCGCTTCCTCCTCATCCTCCGGCATCGGCGAACGTGGCCCGAAGCGCAGGATGGCCACCACACCCGCCACCCCGAAGAAGGCCACGAAGTACATCCCGCCACCACAGCACATGCCCACGGCACAGGCGAGCCACACGCCACACGCCGTGGTGAGGCCCTTAATTTGTCCTGAATCCTTGAAGATCAAAGCTCCACCCAAGAACCCCACTCCTGAAGGCAAGGCGGCAGAGACCCGTGAGGAATCCCAAGTCTGGGTTCCGGCTTCGAAGGCATAGAGCGATCCAATGGTGAAGATGCATGCGCCCAAAGACACTAAGCTCATCGTGCGGACACCTGCACCTCGATTGGATTCTCGACGTTCAAGTCCCAGCAAGGCACCGACCACCAAAGAGAAGGTCATCCGACGAGCAAACTCGGTCTCTTGCTGCGTCAGGAACAGAAGCTGCGGCCAACGATGCCCACGATATTTCCAGTCGTCCGGGAAGAGCACGTTCGGAACCTGAGGCACCTCTGAATCGCCCCCTTTGGCCTTTTGAGCTGTTTCCTGGGCGCACAAAACAGCAAGCTGGAAGAACATGCACTCCGGCAGAATCAACATTTGCGACAATCACGTATGCTACATCATAGTGATAGTCAAGAACTGTCAAGAACCTCCAGCACAGCGTTCTGAAAACAAGCAATCATGATGTCAGCACCCTGCCAACAACATGCAGAACCAAGAGGTTAAAGAAATGAACAGTGGGATCAACCACTTCTGTCAGTGCTTTCTCCGCGAAAGAGATTTCATGGAGTTCCTACTTAGGTTATACCCCCTTGGTCAATTTCCACACTACCACGGCTCAAGCAGGTAGTCGCCCAAGAATGGCTCGATGATCAGGGCGGCGAAGGCGAAGGCGCAAAAGAACACGGACAACACCGACGCCGATTTGAAGGCCAACGACTTTCCCCCAGAGGCAGAGACGGAGGCCGGATTGAAGATGTGCTTGGCCATGCGAGCGGAGAGGCACCGCAACTTGGGGCGAGTGGTGAAGTGTATCTCTTGAGCAAGGGGCACACCATGTCAAGCACGGAGTGTGTTGGTAAAAAAGTGCACGACACGACCCCCTTATCATCAATAATGCAGTAGCTTGACAGCAGTCACAGAATTGCACTGACCATCAGCCTTCTTGGCAGCAAAACGAAGAGTCAATGGGCTTGAGCTACTTTGGCGATTCACCCTTTGGGAATGCCTCGAATACTGTCGTGCACTGTACATCTCTGGTTCACATATTGATTCAGCCACAAGGCTACCGGCAATCAGCAGCGCCGCCGGTTGCAAGTGCCGGTGACTGGTCCGCAGCGCTAAAAGTAGAGCGACCCCTGGCCAAAATCTGAGATCTCAGAACCCCTCACCCAAAGTTGACATGATATGATGGAAAGTCCACCCTGCACCACCTTGAATACTTATACTATACTCTCGAACCACCCACTGCAACGACCCTTACATAGACTTACAATGGACTGACAAGTCGCACTCTGCGCTGCTCGGACAGGCCTTAGGCTCGGTCGGGCAACCGATGCTCCAGGTGTAGGTGGTCCCCGAAGGGCACACTTGAAGACCAACCTGGATGCCGATGCTCCGTGGTACAGACCAACATCCACCGGCAAAAGCCGCGAACCAACGGAAGAAACGGAGACACAACAAGTGCAAAACACACTTGTTGCCCAGCGGCCGCATCATCATAGGCATATCCATACACGTTTGGACCTTTAGACACGTGCATAAATCATCTTTTATAACAAAAACAAGGCTTGATGCGAGCACTTGGATGAAGCCGAGCCAGCGGCAGCTCTGATGTATCAGCTTCACAAACTGCGTCTGCTCCACTGGGCCCATCCTCCAAACACAAACAAAAGCCGCCCCTACTGCTCTGCTAGGCTGCTCCCACCTGCATGCTTCCGATGAGACCGGAGGCGTGGGGCAACAGAACATCTTGGCCTCCTCACCTCAAGTTTGATGCAGCAAATCCTGCAAGCATGTCCGTGGCAAGCATGGGTGTATCAAACCGTTTTCTTCAGCTGATCATGGATGATTGGATGTGTCTTTTTCATCTTGCACTGGGCCTAGCAACATCTCACAACCATCGCCTAGCAACTCGGTCCAGTCCCGACCGTTTTCTGCCGGGAGGCTGTTGGGAGCATGTGCACCTATGGGGTTGTGCCAATTCCTCGGCCAGGTCCCGTGACTTGACGAAGAACGGTTCCCGCTCGCCACTCCGATGCGAAGAAGGACCCGGAGCCGATGGATGCTGGCGCCGTCCGAAGGTTCGACCTTTCATGATGAGGACCTGCTCGTTGGTGCGCTCACTGAGTCGAGCAGGAACTGTGCGGTGTTGCATGGAAAATGCAGGAGATTGAGGATGTGGGGGGAGGATTCGGCCGTGAAATCAACCCGAAGATATTGTCCAAACCACTACGACGACTTGAGCATATTTAATTACATATTTGCGGAAAGGGTTCATTTGAGGGAGGGTGCCTGCTACGAAAAACATATCCGGAGAACAGCAGCAACAACAGTGCATATGATCCTCCCGCTGCACACATCAATAAACATGGTCGTCTCCGTATGGTCGTCCGCAGTGCACGTTCGCGAACACACCACTGTTCTGTTCGCACAGTCGACGACTCGGTCGGACGCAAAAGAGAAGAAGGCATGATGGAAGATCGCCATGGATTGGTGCTCAAAATGATGGATTCGCACCCAAAAGCAAGGATTCGCATCATGTTGAGGTGTGATCAGTTGCTTCAAGAGGAGCTTTCCACATCCACCTTCCGTCACCGTTTTTCTCACCATTACGCACATTACGCACAACCTGAGCCTCATCGTGCATCGGCCATTGCCTCCTGTGGACCAGAATGCTTCAGTTATCTGGCGGACTCTCCAACGCATTGACCTAAAATGATCTCTTCTTGTATACATGCTCGTCCGAGGGCGGGTGCCGTGCCAAATGAAAGATGACTGGTCTGTGCAGGTGCATGACTGCTGTGGCAGCACAGTGAGCAACAGCTAGTGTGTCATCCAAGGCTCGAGTAAGTCAGCTTTCCACAAGGTGAATAGCAGCCCACCACCTACAGCAAACTGATGCCAGTCACTTGAGAAAACTAGCACCACCAGTCTACCAGCACGTCGGTGAAACATATTGAACAACGTTTTGAGATGTCTGACAGCTGTGATGGTCATCGGCCTTCTTGCTAGCTGGGTCGACGACCCGAAGATCCTGCAAGACGGTGCTGAACCACATAGCTCCATGAAACGTCACACGCGCACGCAAATATATATATATATATGTGTGTGTATATATATATAATATCTATATAATGATCTAAATCTATCTTCTACCTACCTATCTCTCCACAGTATCTCTACTTGACTGTTGCTTTGGTCGCTTGCCTGAGCTCCAGCGGCACCCAAGATTTCACTGGAAGGACATTGGCCCAGTGACAGGCCGAGGCAGTTGATGTTTTTGCCCTGCCCAGGACGAGGCGTCACCCGGTTTCGATTGGATTTCTGGGGATGAAAAATCATGAGCAAATCGGATTTCTGAGGATTTCTGCTGCCCACCTGAGGGCACTTGTCGACTTTCACTTCATAAGGAAGCCTCAGGGCTTCGGTGACGAGCGCCGCACAACCGGGTTTGGGTGACGAACAACATCTGCCGAGAAGCGAAAAACCATCCACGGCACTGGTGTCCCACCAATCACAGCCCTCCAAAAGCCGGGACGGAAAGCCAAACAAAAGGGATATGGATGTTACAAAAACGGGAGGGGCCCTCCAAACATGTCAGTCATCTCTTTGGAGCCACCGGACCGGTGACACATGAGACCTCTTGGGATGAGCCGACCACCTAGACTTGACCACTACTTCCCACCTTGTTGTCCACTGCACAGTCCACGCCAAGTGCTCCGAAGCTCGCCTCCGGGCGCGTGCTTTCTTTCGCACGGGCGCTTGGGCCGGGAGGTGGAGAAAAGGAATGGCGGGCGTCTGCGTGGGAGGATCTAAAGGAAGATAGTTCAAGACTACCCTTTCGTGGCTGGTCATTATGGAGGTGGTGGATGGGCAGCTGCAGCTGGCAAGTGCCGAAACGTCCATTCTCCGACGGGAAAGAGCCAAAGGAAAAACGGGGTTCTGAAAACCGCAAGCTCCTGTTGCTCCAAACACTGCATCAACTATACAGTGGACGTCAGTTGCACATCTAATTAGTCTTTGGGTGGAGGCTTCAAGACTTGAGGCCAGAGGGGGTGAACGAAAGCTAGCCGGGCCTCCTCGTCCAAACAAGTCGGGGGCGGGCTGCACAGTCACTCTCATTGGGTAACTGCCGGTCCACTTGCAAGTCCCGTGGGAAACTCTAGAGAAGCAGTGTTAGTATGTGCTTTGTGGCGCGTCGAGTCTCACTCAGTAAGCAACTGCCACCTGACAGGAGCAGGTTTTGTTTGGTGCCCCCTTTCCATCACTTCTTTGGCTTGGTTTTTCCAGCGGTTGCTGTGCCGCAGCAGCAGCAGACCACCCAGCGGCAGCGGCAGCGGCAGCAGCGGCAGCGGCGGCAGCGGCAGCGGCAGCAGCGGCAGACCTCCCAGCAGCAGCACCAGCAGCAGCAGCAGCAGCAGCAGCCCACCCAGCAGCAGCAGCAGCAGCA